AACTCGAATAAAGTAAAACAGTTGTCCGAAATACAATTGGATAGAAAAAAAATAATTAAATCCTGAGAGAGACTATACTAGCTGCGAGTCGCCTCGAGGAAATACAACTCACCTAGTCTCCGTGTCAACCATCCTGCTACGCCTGCTAAGCCATTAGTGGCGCATGTTCCTGTGCAACAAAAATGCACAGAAGTGTAGTGTGGGTATAAAAACAACGCGTACTCAGTAAGTATCCCGCCTAATCTCGAAAAAGTAGAGACGAGATGGCAACTTCGACACTTACTAAAGGTCCAGTAATATTATTATTAATGCGATGACTCACAGATTTATTAAGAACCACAATAGATTCAAGTAAATTACTAAACAGGTAAAAGTTCCTCTTTAATAAAAATCTCCGGATTTATCATCCATTAATTAGCAAATCTTCTCAAGTAGGGAGAGCAGATATTAGCATCAACAAATATCAAGCAAGCAATACAGGCATGCGCAACTCATGTTGAGGTCCTACAGCCCGATCGAACAATATTTAAAATGTGCACTCCCGAGTGTCGAGCGGCCCGAATCATAGATGCATCTATTACCCCGCTAGCGAATCATACATGCGACGCGGTAAAATATAAATAAACAATCACCCTGCTCGCGTACCATACATGCGACGCAGGTACACATAGAAACACATGCTCAACAGCAAATTAAGAACTTTACGGGGGATATTGTCCCATTNTGGGCTGTAGGAGCCCCTCCGGAGTCTGCACACCCACAGTGAGCGCGGGTACCCATCTAGAGTGATTAAATATTGAACAGTGGTAAGAATGACACTGTTATACGCGTTTGGTCAGGTAACAATGACTGACCAGTCAGGTAACAATGACTGACCAGTGGTAACAATGGCACTGTAATACGCGTTTGGTCAGGTAACAATGGCTGACCGGTCAGGTAACAATGGCTGACTTACTGGTTGAGTATGATTGATTTTTAACTGTTTTCAAAAGATTTTCTTCCTATATTTCACTGGTTTCTACTGTTTATCTGATGTTGCTGCTTGAGATAGAATTATTTGTGCCCTTGTGGGATTTTATGTTCTCAGTCGTTATTTATTTTTATTACTCACTGGGTCGGAGTACTCACATTACTTCCTGCACCATGTGTGCAGAGACAGGCACAGCTGAGTTCGTACCTGAGCGCTGATTTCCTTCCAGACCAGGCGGACTAGAAGAGACGAGGTAGCTGTCGACGTCCACAGCCCCGTTTCTTCCTTATCTTCTGCATATTTTATTCATCTTCAAACTATGTTCCCAGACTTGTAGTATTTTCATCAACTCTGTAGTAGCTCGTGACTTGTGACACCCCGATCATCAGGCTGAGTTTGGGAGGGTTTTTCCCTGTTATGTTACGTTTATTTCCTCACTTATGATTAATCAGTATCTATGGTTTAAACCTGTTTATGCTAAGAAATTGTTAAAAGCAGTGTTGATTGTTCTGTTGGCTGGCCTTGTCTTCACGAGAGGCGCCATCACGACCGGGTGGGAATTGGGTCGTGACATCTCGAAGAAGTAGAGACGAGATGGCAACTTCGACACTTACTAAAGGTCCAGTAATATTATTATTAATGCGATGACTCACGGATTTATTAAGAACCACAGTAGATTCAAGTAAACTACTAAACAGGTAAAAGTTCCTCTTTATTAAAAGTCTCCGGATTCATAATCCATTAAATAACAAATTTTCTCAAGTCGGGAGAGAAGATATTAGTATCAACAAATATCAAAGCAAGCAATACAAGCATGCGCAACTCATGCCGAGGTCGTATGGCCCGATCCAACAATATTTAAAATGTGCACTGCCGAGGGTCGAGCGGCCCGAACCATAGATGCATCTATTACCCCGCTCGAAATCATACATGCGACGCAGTCAAATTTAAATAAACAATCACCCTGCTCGCGTACCATACATGCGACGCAGGTACACATAGAAACACATGCTCAACAGCAAATTAAGAACTTTACGGGGGAATATTTGTCCCATTAGAAGCCAATTCTCTTTTAATGATTTAAGGAATAAGTTTAATCCTCTTAGAATTTCATTTACCAGTTCGATAAGATTTAAGCAATTCATACTGTCAATAACATTACAAGTATTCCAACTACAGCATGCGTTTTGGGTCCTAGACTACCCGGACTTACACATATTAGTAGCTACGCACAGACTCTCGTCACCTCATGCGTACGTAGCTCCCACAGTTAGGATCACATAACAAATTATTTCACCTATGGGGACAATTCCCTCTTACAAGGTTAGAACTCACCTCGCTCCAAAGATCGAAAACTAGCCAATAGTTATGCAAATCTATTAATATACGATCCAATTTATAACAATTCCTAACCCCGATCGAAAAGTTGACAAAAACGCCCTCGGGCCCACGTGCCCGAATTTCCAAAATTTTTGAAGAATAAGCTTACCCATAGCCTCACGAACTCATATATATAATTTTCTCTTATTTACATACCCAAAATCGTGGTCAAATTCCAAGAATATAAATTTCTAGGTCTTCCTACCAAAACCCCAAATTTCTACCAATTTACATGCTAAAGTCTATACATAATCGATGTATTTAACTCAAGATGGATGGGATTAGCTTACGTTATCGTTGATGATGAAAAATCCACTTGAAGCTCTTCCAAAAATCGCCCAAGCCAAGAAAAATATGAGAGAAATGGCCAAATCCCATTTTTTAAAACACCTCTCTGCCTCCAGCACTTTCCGCACCTGCGGTCCCTTGACCGCTTCTGTGGTTCCGCAAGTGCGAGCCAGCCTACCGCTTCTGCGGTTTCCTTCAGGCTCCCATTTTTTGCTTGTGCGCTTCTTCTCCTGCAGATGCGGTCCCGCTTCTGCGGCCAAACGACCGCATCTGCGGTCCTAGTTTTCTTTTACCAAACCGCATCTGCGACTCCTGGGCGGCTTCAGCGGCTCCGCTGCTGCGGCCCTTTAATCGCAGGTGCGGTTACACCAGCAACCAGCAACTTCAGCCTTCCAAAAATCCCATTTTCGATCCGTTAACCACTCGGAATCCACCGAAAGCCCCCGGGACCCTAACCAATCATACCAACCAGTCCCAAAACACATTACGGACTTGTTCGAAGCCTAAAATCATATCAAACAACGCTAAAACCAAGAATCGACCTCCAATCCAAGCTTTATGAATTTTAGAATTTCAAACTTCTACTTTCAATGTTTAAACCTATCAAATCACGTCCGATTGACTTCAAATTTTGCGCACAAGTCATATTCAACATTATGGACCTACTCCAACTTCCAGAATCGGATTCCGACCCCGATATCAAAAAGTCTACCTCCGGTCAAACTTCTCAAAAACCTTCAAATTTCTTTCGTTAGCCAAATGACTCCAAAATGACCCACGAACCTCCAAATTCACTTCCGGTCGCGCTCCAAACTCCAGAATCACCATGCGGAGCTACTACCTGGCTCGGATTCCAAAACGAACATCGATAACACTGAAACGCACTTCAACCCAAACTTATAGAATTTCTTCCAAAATGCTAACTTCCACAATAGGCGCCAAAACGCTCCCGGGTCATCCAAAACCCCACCCGGACATACGCCCAAGTCCGAAATCATCTTACGAACCTGCTGGAACCTTCGAATCCTAATTTCGAGGTTGTTTACTCAAAAATCCGATCTTAGCTAATTCTTTCAACTTAAAGCTTCTGAAATGAGAATTCCCTCTCCAAGTCGACTCCGAACTTCCCGAAATTTAATCCCGACCACGCGTACAAGTCAAAATGCCTGAACTGAAGCTGCTCTTTTCCTCGAACTACTGAACAGCGTGCTTGGGCTCAAAACAACAGATCGGGTCGTTACAGTAAATACATAATGACACAGGTAATTACTTTCGTTGATATAAAAATAACAATATTTGATACACAGGTAATTACTTATGCAACTGCATAACTCCCCATCCTTGTTCTCTATGGGATGCCAGAGCAACTTATCGTCTACATTTTTTACAGCATTTTGTTGCAGCTAATCTTCAATATACTACTTTTAACAATTAAAAAGGACATAAAAGCACATGTAATGAATCGCGAAGTAGCGACACAGAGAATAACACATGTTGTTCGCTCAATTCAATGTCGCATAGCGTAATATTCAGAAATTAAATATAGAAAATGGAGAAATGGACCTTTGAAAATCTGGGCTTGGGATTTAAATGAAGGACCACCATCATCAAACAACATCACTCCACCTGAAAAAATAAGGTTTTTGAATGAAAAAGACGGCGCCAATTTAAATTAGAATGTTAATTATGTTTTAGAAACAGAGGAGGGAAGACATCTAGCTATCTTATAATGAGGATATGATATCATAGGTACACACAAAAGGTAGATATCCAAGCACCTTTGAAAGCTGAATTGAACATCATCTCCAGTACTAATTCCAAATTTGAAGCAGTGGCAAAATTTAACCTCCAATGACAATCCCCTCTTTGAAATCGACATTACAAAACTAAAAAATGCAGAAAATAAGAAAACGAAACAAATTGCATTTACTTAGTCATTCCGAATAGAATATTGTAAAATCCAGCATATAATCTGTTGCAATTAACATAACTGAAAAGAAAAGGGAAAAAGAAAATATTCGTACATGACATTCTGTGCTTCTTCACAAATGCGATGTAAGAAGTCCCGTTAATCCATGTTATGGCAAATCCTGACAGATCTGTATTTGAAACATTTTATGAAATGTTAATTTATATATAGAATAGAGAAATAGAGAAAGATATAAAAAAAAGAACAGAAAAGTAAAGCGTACCTATTACATGTTTCAGATATCTTATCAACAGCTATTGTCGCACTTGGTTAATGAATCTCATCAACAAAAGTAGTACTTAAACCTCAAAAAAGACATTGATTATCTTTCGAGTATCAGACTAAATTTCGAAAAAGTTCTTTAAATACAACACTTGTAGCTTCAGCAGTTATTTACCCATCGGCATCACAAACCAAAATTTTTAATCCCTTTCTTCTTGTCACCCGAGAAAGAGCAACATATAGTTGTCCATGTGTAAAAACTGGTTTCTTCAAAAATAAACCCACGTGAGACAATGACTGTCCTTGACTTTTGTTGAGTGTCATGGCAAAAGAAACAGTGATTGGAAATTGTCTTCGCTGGAATTTAAATGGAATTCTAGCATCAGATAATGTCAATGTCATTCTTGGAATAAACACTTTCTGTCCGGCCATCTGTCCTACTAACACCTTGGCTTCAATAACTTGATTTCCAAGTTTAGTTATGATAAACCTTGTTCCATTACATAATCCTGCGGACAGATCAATATTTATTAATAACATTACTGGAATACCAACCTTTAGAGTAAGAGCATGATTTTGAACTCCAGAACATTTAATTGTATTTAAGAATTCAGGAGTGTGTACATGATCCGGTGCTGAATAAGTATTGTCAAAGCTGCAGATTGTATCGGAACTCAAATATAATTCTTAGAACTTTGATTAAGAGAAATCATATATTCGTTGATTGATTCCACCATATCAAGAGTTGGAGTAAGAATGGCTCTTTGTTGGAGGTATCCTATATCATTGCAACGACTGTTGAAATCCGGATATGTACTTTCTACAATTACAGATGTTGGATCAACAGATTGTTTTATCAAAAGATCATCTGGTATTTGGACTTTTTCATTGCCCTGAACAGAAGTACCAACTATACCATCGCCAATTGCCAAAATCCAATCTGAAAAAACTCTCAACTCATCTATATGTGTCCCTATTTTATTACCTTGCAATCTCATATTCTTTGTTAACATTAAGAGTTGACAGTGAGGTCACAAATAAGAAGAATCGAGAGAAGCATTAACAATATCTTGTCTACTACCTTTTGGAATGTCAGGTAATATTTGTCTGAAGTCACCACCAAGAACAATTGTTTTACCTCCAAATGGTCAGTGTAAATTGGATGCATCTTTAAACCAAAGAATATCTCTTAAATTTTTATCAAGAGCTTCAAAACAATATCTATGCATCAAGGGTGCCTCGTCCCAAATAATCAACTTTGCCTTAATAATTAAGTTTGCTAAAGGAGTATCTTGCTTGATATTACATGTTGAATCTTCAAATCACAAATCTTGAATGAGCTGTTCGACCACCTGGTAACAACAAAGACGCAATCCCGCTAGATACGACAGCTAACACAATATCTCCTCTAGATCTTATGGCAGAAGATAGAGTTCTCCAAATAAAAGGCTTGCATGTTCCTCCAAAACCATTTAAAAAGAAAAATCCACCTTTCTCTTCATTCACATCTCTTATTATTTTTTCATAAACTGACTTTTGCTCATTTGTCAAATTCTTTACTAATTGTTGATGCTCCACTGCCAATGCGCGTTTATTATAATGCAATTCATCCCGTATTAATCTGTTACTGTTGTCAATTTCTTCCATATTATAAACAGGACTTGGCATTGTTGGAAAATCCTGAAAACTTCTTCCACAACCTTTCAAAAAAATTTCAAGCTTTTGCAAACAGCGATTTTTCAATTCTTCATCTGTTAGGTCAGCTTCTGAAATAACATTAAAATAAAAAATAATAAAATACAATGAAATTGTAAAGTTTAATTTAGCCACATCAAATTAATAATAAGATTACCGAAAAAGTATAGTGTTAAATAGTAGTTTACATTAATTTAAAGTACATTTAACGTATATATAATTTGAAGTAATAATATAGTCCAAGCCATGTGGTTCATTTTATTTTTAAAAATTACTAATAATGTGAAGATGCATTTTATTATTCGTAATGTATCAAAAAATCAATTTTTCTATCCAAAAGATATTAATTGCAATATTTTCAATTAAAGTAGAGAATGCATAAGAGCGATTATAGGCTTTTCCGAAGCTTTAGGTATTAAATACGATGCATTAATTTTCTTTTAGTATTTATGTCTGGAAAATTAGTACCAATATTATTCCTATGATCTAAACACAACACTATAGTAAAAAGACAACATAACAAAATATTGTTTAACGAACATTAAGTTGTTGAGTGAATTTTGTATGAAGTTGAAAAACAAAAAAGAAGAAAGAAATGAACAATCAGATTAATATGAAAAAAGTAATTAAAAAGAAAATTAATTAATAAAGTTAAGCAAATCAGCCATCCTTCATAAGTATCATATCATAACTCGAAATTGTAAGCATTAAATAAGTACCTGGTTGATCCAATATTCTTCTTTCTTCATGAAGGATATCTTCTGATAGTAAATGCCATGTTGCTTGCCAAACACTTTCTGGACGTGACATTGAATTTGATAAGAATAGCATAGAAAATAATTGCCTAAAATATGATGCCATTCTCCAATTACTTGCTTCCATTATAGCATCCACGTATTCCATGTCATTATCTAATAAACCCAGAGCATAACATGCACCTCTTAAAGTCTCATGATCACAACCGTTGATATTTTTTTAAATCCTCGTAGCTCTTTGGACCTTTAATGACATTCAACAACAATATAAGGTAATGTTGCTCGCCAGAGCCAGGTGGAACAAAGAATATTCTCCCAATAGAAAATGCAGATGTTCTTCTTTTTTCCCATCTTTTTAGGTTTTGTTTCCGCACAAACTTTTGAGAGAATTATGCATAAGTCAATTCTCTTGCTTCAGAAAATGTCTTATTAGCTTCAAAACAGCTTAAAACATAGATTCCTTAACGGTTGGTCTATTGACAACTGCATCAATTGGATCATCATCCGAAAACATCACCGTCTGATTATTTGGTAGGTGAAAAGATAGCCTTTCTACAGGTGGTTCTCTATGGTGTATTGGGAATTTAAAAATTCTCCAAGAAGCTTCACAAGGTGATATGTATCGGCAATAACAATACATATTTATTTCATCAATGACCCCCGAGTCTTCATTATTTACACTTCGAGAAAAAGCTGCGGCGACACGATCATTGCCTTTATTAACATACTTAAATAAGTACTTAATGGATCGTGATTATATAAATCACTGAAGAATAAAGATGTAATTAGATCATTAAGTTTATATATTAAGTATTTTCAATATTAGCATATAATAAAATTAATGTGCAAACATAATAATTTTGTAGAACATAAAAACTGTAGATAATTCGCTTGTTAAAATGTCGGGACGATCTTCTGGAGATAATTCCCTCTCCACAAATATAGTAATCTCTGGCCATTTTGGGTTGCAAGTAAAAGTGATGAACAGATCAGGGTACCCCGCCCATTTGCAAATTGCCATGGCATCTTGATAATTTTACAACATGTAACGTGCACCTCCCGTAAAGCTGGAAGAGAGTATAACTCTTTGTCCATGAGAAGAAGGTTCTATGTCCCCATGTAAAACAGCATCTTGTAACCCTTTATAAAAGTGTGCTCTCAATTGTTTTTGATGAAGCCTAATGAATCTCAATCGAGAAGATTCCATCATTGTATAACCATCTACCAAGAATTATTAAAATAATCTTCTAGCTGACACAATTGTTGGATCTTCATCCTTCCTTTCTTGAATTTTATATTATAAGTACTCACGCGTGCTAACACATCTCCTTCCACCGTTTGAATCATCAATATCATTTAAAGGAATATCTTCTCGGTATCCATCTTCACCATACGGAAATATTAATGGATATTGCAAACCTAAGTATGCTGCATTTAATTCATTTATCCTTTGTAGTAGTCCAGATTGGCTTTCAACTATGATATCTCAGTCAGACCTTGTTTGTTCAAAATCTCCAACAATCAAAGCAGCTACCTCTGAAATTGTTGGTCAATTGTATCTTCTTCCATAATAGCCTCTTTTCCCAATCAATCTAAGTCTAACATTTGAGGTCAGATATGTTTGAAATTGATCTCTTACCATTCTAAATGACTTTGCAAGAACATTATTGTCATCAAGCATTTGCTTCAACTCATTCACAATTTCAGCATGAAGTTGATTGTTCATTTCACCAAAGCTGTAAAGAAAAATATTCAATTCAACTAACAATTTATGTCTTATAAAAAATATAATATTAAAATATTTTGAGTAAGCAATTGTCTATGCTAACCTGATAGCATGAATTCTATTTTTCACCTCATTTTCTGTATCATAGATATACAATTGTGCAAATTTTGGAGAAGATCCCTCCGGAGGCAATAAGCTTCCAATCTGAATATAATTTTTCCCAGACAATCTGAATGTTCTAGGTCCCTTTGTTTTGTTGACAGAGAAATCCGCCTTTCCTCCCATTGATGTCACCACCCCAAACCCGGTCGTGATGGCACCCAACAACATTGCTAGGCAAGCCAGACCACAATCGTTCCCAAATTAACCGTAAACCTCAAACCGACAATCTAAAGAGATTATAATAGTTTTAGAATAATAATCCAATATTTATAATAGAATAATACTGAGAAAAATACGAAGTCTGATAAAAACGCTCCCAAAGACCTGGGGTCAGGAGTCTAGAGCCTCTAAAAACAATCTGAATAACAATATCTGAACGAAAATACTCAAGTCTGGAAATGTATATATATATAAATAAAACTGAAATAGGAAGAGTAGTCAGGTCCTGCGAACGTCAAGCAGCTACCTCAACAACTCTGATAAGTTCTGGGAAACAAAGACTGCTCAGCTAAGCCTTCGGTGTACCTGAATCTGCACACAAGGTGCAGGGAGTAGGGGGTGAGTACTACCGACTCAGTGAGTAATAAGCATATAAAATGTCTGAAGATAAGAAATCCACGAAATGCCACAAAGTAAAGCTAAAACTAACAGTCCAACACCTAACTACGAACTAACAGCAAAACAACTCAAAACATATCAGTCAAGTATAATGTAAAGATGCAATGCAATGCACATGACCGCTACAGTGCGTAGCCCGATCCATTTAACGTCGACGGCGCTCAATTAATTTCCCAATTTCCAATTTATTAAGAAGAATATACTTTAGATATTTAACTTCAGGAAAAGTGACTTAGCGTTTCATAACAATGATTAAACACAGGACTGAGATCAATGATTATACAAAGCATGCTATCACAATGACAATCATCCTCTAAGGATGCTACAGATCGGCACAAGGCCCCAAACACGGCAATAAGCCCAGATATATTCAATACAGGGTGCGTATCAGTTGCCAATATAGAAATATTCTTGTTCGGGATGGATTAAGTCTCGATCCCCAGTCATAACCAATCCCGCACCTGCCATGGGGTGCGAGTCACACCCTACAATAGCGTCACAATGTGATAAGCCGGGGTTTCAAACCCTCAGGCCATCATATACACCAACTACTCACCTCTATCCGGCCGTAGAATGGTCCGCAATGCCTTTTCCTTTCGTATCGACCTCCTCGCGCGTCGAATCTAGTCAAAATCACAACAAATACGTAAATATGGGTTAAAGAAACATAACCCAATCAAAAATACTCGAAAAGTACTAAAATTCACGAAGTTGGTAAAACCCGAGCCCCGGGACCACTTCTCGAAAAATTCGGAAAATCACACCAACGGATTCCTCGTCTCGCCACGAGTCCGTGCATATAAAGTTTACCAAAATCGGAGCTCGTTTGACACTCCAAATTCCATTTTTACATCACAGCTTTCCAAGCCCTAGCTTGACCTGTTTTTGATGAATTTTCTACAATTTACATGTAATTTCTACCATAAATTCGAATATTTAGGCCAAGGAACTTACCTCCAAGTGATTCTCAGTCAAAACCCTTGAATTTCCTTGTTCAAAACTCTTAAGAACGTCAATAATGGAGGAAAAATATGAAAGGGTC